TGTCATTACTATGAATCCTCTTAGTTGTCATAACAACAGAAAATGAATACCATTTAGTATCTTAAAACTCCAGACAGAAGCTATTAACAATGCACTTCTTCCCAAAGAACCAGCTAATTAAAACTGTAAATAAGGCTGTGTTGGGTTTCTTCATACTCCGATGAGGAACTGTCTCATGAAGAACCATACACAGATGGCTTGGCGATTGTTCTCTGTAGACTAAGCTAGGACTTACTTCCAGCTACCCTCATTCCCAAAAGAGAAGGCCCACTCAAGGAATGGAGAACTTACGGAGGGGAGGCAAAAATTAAGAAAGAGGAGTCCCTAGAGAGCACAGGAAACCTGGCTTTCTGAGGCACTATAGGACACCTACATTGGACATTTTCCTACTGGGCTTGGAGGGTGATGGTCTTCATTATTACTGATCAGAAAAAACAAAAAACAAACAAACAATACCCCCCAACCCCAGGCTATGAGAAAAATCTAAAGTAACCAGTTTTAGCCCCCCCTTTTTTTCTAGATTTGTTCATGTACACACCGAGCAGGGCATTATCCCACATTCTCAGTGTGTTTAATTGGTGAGCTTTATTGGTACCAATTCATAAATAAAGCCAAAGAAGTTTCTGATTTTCCACCCAGGACTTAGGCGGTTATTTCTGGATTAGGTACTAAATTAAACTCACATCTCCAAGTTGAAGCTCCAAGTCCTAGCATCTCAGAATGTGTTCACATTTAGGGAGAGGGTTGTTATGGCAGTAATTTAAAATGCAGCCATTTGTGTGCAGCCCTGACTAATACAACCTGTATCTTACAAAGCCAGGAGACCAGGACATGGAAATACACCAAGGGTGTATGCATTCACAGTGAAGGCTTTTTGAGAGCACACCAAGAAAGATACCTTTTTTTTTTTTTTTTTTTTTTTTTGGCAAGACACCCAGAGAGTGTCAGGAGAACCCAGTCTGCAGGCACTGTGCTCTTGTGTACACACAGCCAGAACTGCACGATAAGACATTTCCGATATTTGTGTTTTGTTGTGATGGTGTTGCTGGGGTAGAATCCTGGCTCTTGAACATGCTGGGCAAGGGCTCTACCATTGAGCTACATCCCTAGTTTTTAAAAATTTCTGACATTTAAGGCACACTGGTTGTGGTACTTGCTAGAAAGTACATTCCCAGGAAATGAATACAATCAGTAACTGTCACCTTAGCTAGAATTATATATTTAATAAGTAGATAAACAGTAGATACAGGCATGAAAACGTAAATGGGTAATTTATGAGCTAATGATTTTAGATGTAATTTGATGTACCCAGGGCTTAATATACATCAGTTAATCCACATATTATTCATGATTATCCATGAGTGAACAGGGAGCTTGTTGAGCCAATGCTGGTTGCTAATGAACAATGCACTTGATTCCCCCTCCTCATCGGAGGCACCCCTTTCCTCTTTCACCCTTGCTGCAGCATTCCTTGTTGTGCTGACATGAAACTACTGGGTTGTGATTACATATTTACTGTGTAGCCACACATTTGACATCTGTTTCCCTTGGGAAGTTCTGTAGGACCTGGCCTTCTCTGTTTTTGTTCACCCCTGCAGACCCACCATCCAGCACAATACCTGACTCTCAATACTTGCTCTTGGTTAAAAGAAGTTACCAAGTTCTTGAGCTCTGAAACTGGGGAGAGTGAATATCATGATTTGCACTGTATTGTTTCCCTTGAAGGTATTTAAAGAGTTTGTGTATACATTCCCCTGGGGAGAGGACCCACAAGCTTAGTTTTATATAATAGGGCTCTGTGACCTCCTGAAAGAAAAGAATCCCTGGCCTAATTCAGTAGTAAAATAAGACTAAACAGCAAAGGACTCACCTGCAGTTTGAAATAGAATATGCTACAAAACCATTCATATGCATAGGTGTGTGTGTGTGTGTGTGTGTGTGTGTGTGTGTGTGTGTGTGTGTGTGTGTGTGTGTGTGTGTGAGACAAGAACAGAGACTGAAATGCCTCAATGAATTTGCAGAACCATCCATATCCCTGTCCCTTTCCCCCACTCTCCCTGAAGACCTGATCATTTCTGTAGTCATTGGCTGGAGTAGTGAGTAGCTGCTGGCATTCATCTGTTTCTTGGCAGTATCATTCATCACCAAGGCTGGGGAAAAAGCCTATAATTCTTCCCATTCACCTGTTTGGAACGCTGCCATCCTTCTTTGTAGGAAGCCCCTTTTAATAACAAACCTGTAAACTTCCCAGGAAGCAAGGGCACCGAGCTGTGTTTAGGGAGCACTGGTGCCCATGCAATTTGATCGAACAATCCTGGGATTTCCCTTCCCTTTCCCAGCAGCCCTAGAGGAGATATAGCCTAATCAGGCTACGGATGCCTCCCCTCTGCTTGCTGCTGGAGCATTCACTGAGGAGCTAGCGGACGGGCTCCTTTACACTAATTGGCTGTTGGGTATTAAACCTTTCATCTCCCAGTTCCAGAAGACACTGCTCTTCGATATTTCTTCCCTTGTTTGTGTCCTGAAAATGACTTCCACAGTAAATTTGTCAGAGTAAAGGTTTTCAATGTGCCATTAACTCATGGTTACCCACACTAACTGGGGAGGGCAGGAATGCAGATAATTCAAAGCCAAAGGCGCTTTCTGTCTAGCTTCCTAATGCACGGCTTCAAGGGGCTTGGTGGCAGACTTACCTCCCTAATTATGTTTGTCTTCGTTGCTTATTAAAATGAGTTTGGCTGCCTTCGGGCCTGGGAGTTCAGTGATTTGAAAATTCTGACACAGAATTTGTGAATGTCATCAGGGAAAAGCCACAAGGCACAGAGATAATCAAACCTGACTAGATTTGAGTTCACAGTCCTAATCACCTGTGATCAATTACTTTGTTCCTGTGGGGCTGAGTCTGGGGATTAGAAATGATGGCAGTTGGAGGCAAGGAGTCTTTACATTTAGATGAGGATGCAAGACTGTTGCAGTCCAAACTGATCACACACTTTCATTGGTTTTCCTACCTGGCCTCACAATGTAGGGGACAGTAAACCATGCCTGTTAGAGGCTGGCTACATGTGGGCCTGACCACGCCTTTCAAGGCGTGGTCAAGGTGAGGTCAGGATGACGCAGGATGGGCTCTTAAGGGGCTGCAGAGCAAATGGAGAGCCCCTTCTCTCTCTGGCCTCGCTGCTCAGCTGCCCCTGGCAAGCTCTGGCTTGCTTTTGGCTGGTATTTATCTCAATAAAGATATCTTGACCTTACAGACTACAGATCATCTATTGTGATCACACAATATCATAACCTTCTTTTCTGCAGCTAGTGATCTTGTGTGCAAACCTAATATTGCTCATCTTTACCCAGCAGCCTTTGATGGCTCCCCGTGTTTGTCATTATGGCCTTTCACAACCAGCCAACCCTCTCTGAAGCAACAGGACCCTGCCCTTTCAAGTAGAGGCAGTGCTAGGTTTGATACTGGCCACGGAAATGGGCATGAAAACCAGCCAATGGAGTGTAAATGGACATGCCACTTCTAGGTAGCAGGTCTCAGAGCCAGCTGTGTTTGGTTTTACACTTTGTCTGGCCAAACACCTGGCAGTATCTGAGATGGTGGCTGCTCCTGACTGTTGCTGGTGCCTATGATGAGCCTACTTCCAGCTAGCTAGTGATGAATGTATACCAGGAACAAGAAGCTCTTGCTTTCAGCCACTTATATTTTAATGCCCTTAGTCAACTTAGCAGATCTGGCACGCACATATCAAGCTACACTCTGGCTGAGTTTTCAGCTCTGTAAGCAGACAGTGAACAACTGAAAGACGAAATCGTTTCTTCTTCAGCATCTGAAGTCCAGTCTACAGCACATCCAAAACCAGTTGGTTGGCAGTTGACTATGAAATTCTCTTCCTTTGTGGCCCCTACCATCATCCAAGTTTGTGTTTCTCCAACACTCTCCCCACTCGCAGCACAAAGCTACAAATGGGTAAAGCACCCTTGGTTTTCAGGTGCGTGGGGAAGGGTGGAGCTATGCATCTGGACCAACAGGGCATCTTTGGTGGTGATATTCTTAGGCTCCACATGTTTGGAATATAATATGGCTTAAGGAGAGAGAAGATTGAGAAAGGAAGCCTTGGAGCTATCACACAGAAAACATGGTATTCACAAAGCTAGGTTTCACGTGTCATCCGGACTAGACTCACAAGTCCCCATCTATCAGAACACCAGCATTTAATCATGACTTACCATGCACCAGACCCAGTTCCAACTGCTTTACGATTAGCTCATTGATTACCCAAGTAACATTCTGAAATAGTTATGATTGATACTTCACAGATGAAGGAATGGAGGTAAAGAAGAATGAAACATGGAGATGAACTCCCTATGGCCACATTGAGAGGAAATGCTCTCCTCTTACTTCGTGCCTCCTTGAACACTCCCATCGAGTATGCTCACTCCCACTGTGTCCCCCCATAAGTCACATACTGCCAACTCCACAAACTGCCATTCTCTAAAAACCCCTGCCTTCTAGACTAACAGAAAATGATTCCCCTCCCTTCTCTCCAAATCAGCGTTCAAATATTTGAAGGCAGCAATCATGTGTCCCATAGGACTGTTCTTCCCACTATAAGCAGCCACAAGTCACTCAACACTTCCCAGTACACCATAGCTTGAGGCCCTTCTCCATCTCTGCTCAGTGACTCATACTTGCTAGGAACCAAAAAAATGTCAGTGAAGTCAGTGGAGTGGAACTGGTGACTCGCCTGTCTTTTAGTCTTGTGCTGAGCTAATGCCCCTACACGCACATTCCTTTCATAGTGTGAAGTGGGGTCATGATCTGCTGTAGGAACAGCTGGCTGGCCCGGTGCCTTGCACAGGTCCCCATTCTGGCAAATGGACTGCTAAAACATCTGCTCGTTCAGTACTCCTCGCTCTAACCCAAGTCTGCTCCTCCTTCTTTGCCCTGCTCCTTTCTTGTCCTATCCCAGAGGCATGCTGGGAATGGCCTTTCCACTCACCATGGAGTTCATAGCAAAGTGATTGTGCTGTGTCTGGAGGTCTAGTGCATGCTGGTAGCTGACTCCGATCTCTGTGTGGCTCTGAAGAAATAACTCCTTGTTGTGGCTTATCCAGTCGAACATCTAGAAGGGAGAAGACGGGATAGAGTGATGAGAAAGGTCATAGGTCAATCAGGACAAACCATTCAAAGCTGCGGAAAGAATAAAGCCCTCCAGTTGATTCCCAGGGAGAAGCTGTCTTCTCTCTGGAGTCAGCATGGGCCACAGTCTGGTCTCACAGGAGAACCCTCATGTTTTAGTCTAAAGACCTACAGGCAGCTTCTGCTTCTCTATAGAGCCTAGGGTCAAAAGAGAACATGAGGGAGAAAACTGAGGAGGTGGGGTAGTGGTGTTTATTAACAAAGGTGGCTACAGACCCTTTGTAAAGCCTCTAGAACACCCCAGGAAGGCTCCACACCTGCTTTGAGGACAAGCAAAGCTAGAGCAAGCTGGGAGGCCTAACCTACTCATTTAGGTAGCCATGTCTCCTCCAGGCAGCCCACACACAGCTCTTTAGGATGCTGGATCTAAGCTAACCAGAGTATGATTCTTCCCAACCATTCAGTCTGTCTCGGAAATAAGAATGTGAGCAAATCAATGCAATAAGATGTGAGAAGTTTGGCAGTTCTTTAGATGCAGTTTCTTTTCCTTTGACACTGTCCTTTTGTGTCACTGATCTTGCTTTGCTGCAGCCACCTGCTGGAAGCCAATGGAGAGTAAAGGGTGGAGTCAAAGCAGCTTCAGCAAACAGTCAGGGCCCTGACTGAGCTGCGTATGAGCTGTATTTTATCTCTGGACTTCTTGGGGACCCGAGGCCAGAATCCTTCTCTATTTTTTTTTTTTTGCCCCAGTTTAATTTAAAGTTTGTAGAGATTGCTGCCCAGAGCAATCAAGCAAGACAGCTAGGAAAGGTGTGAGCAGACCTGTGAAAAAGAGCACTCTTCTCGGGTGGGCATACCAGGTGTACATGCATCTGCATGTGTGGCGGGGGAGGAAGGGTGCCACAGCCCCTTCCAGAGTGGTGAGAGGACCAGATAAGCTCTGAGACAGGGGTATGAGGTTGCACCAGCTTTCCTGTCTTAGATCTTCTCTTTACATAGAAAAGTAAGTTTGCTTTTCCAGTTGCTCAACTAGTATATATGGGATACCTGCCATGACCAAGGTGACAGAGGATCAAAACTATGTTTCTTTAAATTATGTGGCTTTTTATAAAGTGTAGAAAACTTATGTGGACTCAGGTTCTGTTTATTTATTTATTTTTATTTACCTGAGGCTTTCATACATGAGTACAACACATTTTCATCATTGGTACCCTTCCCTTCCTCTCTTCAACATTCTCTCTAAAATCCATGCCCTCTTCTTCTATAATTATTTGTGTGTGTGTGTGCGTGTGTGTGTGTGTGTGTGTGTGTGTGTGTGTGTGTGTGTGTGTGTGTTAAATCACAACTCTAAAGGTCTATGGATATGATAGAGGCTAATTTGTGATACTAGCAGAGGATAAAGAACAATATATCCTCTAGAAAAGAGGATCCTGTGTTAAGCCTTGACTTGAGAAGAACCAGATAGGTGAAGGCCAGCAGGCTAAGTGACCCTGCAAAGCAAAGGTGGAATACAGGGTGGAAATTGGGGCAGCCCAATATGACACAGGTATTGAAAATACCCCAGGAGTGCTTCCTGTGCCTGGCTTGACAAAAATAAGACTGGAGAGGCAGGTGCACAGACTGATCACAAAGGGGGTTCGTGCTTTAGAGTTGTGGACCGATACTGACAGTAAGATGTAGGAGAGGGTCCTCAGTTGAGCTATAAAGTATGAACGAGCTGTGGCAGCAGTTTGGGATGCAGACTATGGAGAGCCAGCCAGAGGACATACTTAGGGGGATGGCACACTAATCCAGGTATAGGTGGGGGCTTGGAGAGGCAGTAGAGTCAGAGAAGTAGACAGGTTTGAGAGCCCCTTTGGTCAGGACCTCCCCAAAGCTCATCAATACTTGGAGAGGAGAGGGTGAGAAAGAGCTAGCGAGAGCCGGACATTGGAGGTGCATGTCTTTAATCCTAGCACTTGCGAGGCAGAGGCAGGCGAATCTCTGTGATTTTGAGGCCAGCCTGGTCTCCAAAGCGAGTGCCAGGATAGGCTCCAAAGCTACATAGAGAAATCCTGTCTCGAAAAACCAAAAAAAAAAAAAAAAAAAAAAAAAAAAAAAAAAAAAAAAGAGCTAGCGAGACCAGCTATAGCATATTAGCCCCTGCAACCCCAAGTTCTACCATGGGGGCTGCTGAAGAACGAGGACAAGAGACTGAGGGTGGGAGACACAGTGAGCTATAGTTTGAATGCCCTGCATTTCAGACGCATAGGAAAGTTTCAAGCAGATCTTCCTAGGAGCAGCTAGGCGTGTGTGTCTGGGGGCCTAGAGAGAGACATCAGGGCTGTAGCAACCCATGCCTGAATGTAAGAACATTACCTTACAGGTGCTTATCTGGAGACTCTCCACCAGAACTACTCAAGTAGCAGAGGGTTTATTTCAAGCTGGGGTCTCCTGAGCAGGCTGAGTGGATAGCTGCTGTGTGTGCTATTCTGAGTCTATCAGCCCAAGGTGGACCCATATTGCAGGCAGCTGGACAGAGCTCCCCTAACTCCTAGTTATCATTAATGATGAAGAGGGAAAGAAGGCAAGTGCTGGAGTATAGAGGATTCTCATTCTGCAATTTTTGATCCTTAAAATTCTTCGCCCAAACTCCATTTCAAAATAATTGCTCATCCCTTTCCCTTATTTGCAGAAAAATCAACAAAGTTAATGAAAATCTGAAATGCCCCAAGTCCTTGGAACTTGTGATGATGAAAGTGGTCACTCCATACCCTTCTTTGGCTATCGCAGCAGCCCAGACAAGTGACTTGGCATTTTCTGCTGAATAACTATTTAGACATACAAACAGGAAGATGAGGTATGTGCAGCACCACAGTGATTAGATTGCTGGGCACCAGGTCCTTGCTGGCCTGCAGAGACAGGAGAGCTGGACATAGGCCAAGCGAGGTGGACAGCAATGTAAAGCAAGGTAAGAGGTCACAGTCGCTGTGCACTCTGCTGAATCAGCTCCTCCCAGGTTGATGCTGGCCCTGATGCTACCCCCAAATCCATGTTCTGCTCATGAACTGCTTCCTGGTAGTGAGGCACCCTGACAGTTTAGCTTGATCTGTAGAAACTGGAGTAACCTGTGTTCCAGGAAGAGAGGAAAAGGCCTAGTCTGGGACTCATGTGAAAATGTGTTCTGACCCAGGAGAGCCATAAAACCTTTTAGAAATTTTGATTGAAACACATACATATAATTCATTATATAATATATCATATATTCTGATATATAATATATTACATATTCTGATTTGCAAGGGATAGTGATTCCTAGAATGAAAGTTAGCATGCTGGCTTACAGATAGCATGTTTTTTGAAACCCACGAAAAAAAATTTTTTCTATTCAAAACAACAATTAGTTTCATGGAATCTTCTGGGTTAGAATATATATTCAGTGCTAGAGATCATGTTTCTAGCAATTGAATTGAGGAATGTTGATGTGGGTTATCCTTCTGTATGCGGAGAATATATTCTGCCTGTCCACTGATGAAACAGGCAGAATATAGCTAGGCGGGAAATCCAAACAAAGAGACAGAGAGAAGGAAATGCCATGTAGCTGCCAGAGAGGCAAGATTCCAGGGAATCACTGGTAAGCCACAGCTACCTGGTGATACAGAGATTAGTAGAACTGGGTAAATTTATGAGAGAGAAAGAGCCAGCCAGTAATAAACCTAAACCATTGGCCAAACAGTTATAAATATATACTAAGTCTCTAAGTGATTGTCTTACAAGTGGCTGCAGGGACCTGGTGGACAGAGAGAAACTGGTCAAGTGGGACCGGACTAGACAAAGAAAATCCTTCATTTATTTTACAGAATGTAGCAAGAAACTGGCCTTGTTTTATAGCCAGAGAAAAGCAGCTCCTTGGTCTCTGCCACAACTTTTCTCAAGTACTTTCAAGTTCCAATGTCCACTGGCATGTATCATCTTATGGCACCCTCAAACAGTATGATATGACTATGACCATCAGATCCTCATCACAGAGAAGTGAACCTCAAATTCTAGAAATCATTATTCTACCCTGTGCTACATTTACTCAGTGACTTCCAGCTAGGGCCTGAGAAGCTGTACGCACTATGATGTCCCAGCCAAGGAAAGGTGCGTAGCACCATTTGTTTGCCAACATTCAGCTACCTCCTCTCTATGGCTATACCATTGGAAGAGTCACAGATGCCTGGGGACAGCTGTTTGAACCACAGTGCTTCTCTGAATAAATGTTGGAAAGAATAAAGGAAACAGCAGGGGTGAGGAGGGAGGGAGGGGAAGGAGAGAGGAAGGATGGCAGTTGGCCATGCCTAGGTTTGCTAATGTCCAGAGAAGAAAAACCTTTCTAAATGGTCCTAGCCACAAGTCAGAACCATTTTAAATTTGATCCATTTGAATTTGGCTATCTGGAAGACATATGAGTCAGGCTGTCCTAAAGATATAAAGGAGGAATACAGCAAAAGAGAATACATCTACAGTATCTTTGGATCCTTTATATCTCCACCCCCATGTTTTAAGAAACTACAAAAATTACACTCAACAAAATATAACAACAACAACAAAAATCCTTCCAAGAGGAAGAATCATATCTAAGTAATGCAATTATCTTTCTGTCTGAACAGTACACAGTTTTCTTTGTCTTATTAAGAAAGATGTTATATGTAAGCTACTTGAGGTTTTTTTTTTCATGTTTTAACTAAGCTAAGTAATTTTTTATGCTAGCTAACTTCAGTAAAAATACACAAATCTGGTTCTTCATAAATAGTCAATGTTAAAGGAATCTATTTAAATGCAAATTAGGAAAATAAACATGAGGCTTTCCATTTTTTAAAAAAAGATGGGTTAGCTAAAAAGGTTATTATTGTTCTGTTCTGTTTTTAATGAAGCATAACTATTTCATAGAGCAGAGATATTGAGTAAAAGTCTTGTGTTTATTTTTCTTCATTTAGTGAAAGCATCTGATGTCATCTAACT